ATAACCTGCGTATTCTAGTAATTTACTAGAATATGCCATTCTGAAAGCCAGCATTTACATTGGGCGTATTTCGCGGAAGATTAGAGAAATGCGGAACTAATGCAACCAATTGCTGATTAAAATTTCTGTTGTACACTCTAACAGAAATGCTAAACGAATTTACGATTGGTTTTCGTAACCTACGCAACTCAAAAAGTACGCCTCATGGGGAACCGGTACTTTCTATCGCGTACAAACAATACGCGTTTGTACAAATTTAGAAGAAAAAAGTCTGATTTATAATGGCCGTAACCGTTAACTTATGTAGGTGCCGGTAAAGTTCAATCATAGGATTTCAATGCTTTCGTTCATACTAATACGGCAAGTTAGTAGTTAAGCATTAAAATCCTATGGTTGAACTTTATCGGCACCGGCATAAGTTAACGGTTACGGTCATTAAATCAGGCTTAAACTTAGAGCAGCTTAGGCCGGAATCCATAGTCCGTTCTTAATCTCGAGCAAGATCTTAAGATATTCGGCTCTCTGATTGGTTCATGCACTAGCTTAAGATCATCTCGAATCTTGAATCTTGAATCTGTCTATGGATTCCGCTCTTAAGCTTTGTGTCCACGATGTTAGAAATCCGTCCGAGATCTCGGATGAAGAAAGAATTGACCAATCGCATTGATCATGTGACTAAATTGTTTAAATGTGATTGGTTAATTCTTTCTCTCTCCGAGATCTCGGACCAATTTCTAGCATCGTGGACACAAGGCTTTAAAGCTTATATATCTGAAGGGGGAATGGCCGTCATGGCCGATTCAAAGTGTGTATGCGAGAGAGATAGATATAAGTTCCTAATCGTTCTCTGTGCGCATGCGTTGAAATTGACAGACGCACGCTGTAAATATGTAATATATATGTATATATATATATATATATCTTTATTATTTCAGCATTACAACTGCCAAGAAGGGACTTGGTTTACACAATTTCTTATCCACACTCATCCTTCCACACTGCTAAAAATAACCTAACTCTACTTACTCTGTCTAAGGGCGGAATCCATAGTCCGGTCTTAATCTCAAGCAATGGCTGCGTTCAGCGAAGAAAGCAGCTTAGTGAGCGCTTTGTGCTGCGCTGCCAGCAGCTTACGATTTCTGCTGAACGGACTTTTCTTCTACTGTATCATATGTATATACATTAGAAGTGAGGTTATACACCTGTATTATACGATAACTTTCATTCATTTCATATTTTTCATTTATTTCATTTTCATATCATTAAAATAAGCAAGTAAT